CAGTTCATTATGTACAGAAGTTTGAAGTTTGAATAATATATCAGTTTCTCTCTATACTTGTCTCTCTATACTTGTCTTTACTTTACAGTCTTTATTTTATAACATCTAGATTTTAATACTGAATAATTAAGACCTTGTTTTCTCAACATCTAAATGTGTATAATTTATCTTTAATTAAAACTAATAAATATAGAATTCAAATAAATAAATAATAAATATTATATCCGCAAAATATTAGAGATAATATTAATTTTACATGGTGTTGCATAAATTGCTTCTTTAATGAACCACATTCTAAAAGCCAGCAGTTGGCGGTGGTTGTGTGTTGATGGCTGGAGGTGATGGATGTGCGATGGTGACTGATGGTGATGGCTAGCGGTGGAATTGGTTGGATGGTGCTGGTCAAAAATGATGGTTGTGAGGTGGAGCCAAGTGGTAGAGGTGGTTGGTAGTGATGACTGGTTGTAGAGGTGACTGGTGGTGAGGACGGTCTGAGATGGTGGTTGTGAGATGGAGGCTGATGGTAGAGGTGATTTGTAGTGGTGGTAGGTTTTATAGGTGGTTGCATGGTGGTAGCGGATGGTGATGGTAATAATAGAGTAGAAGTAAAAGATTACATTCACAAAATCTTTAACTTAACATCTTAATGATTTTAAGACTCTGTACTAGATCTGAATAATTGAGACTTATTAAGAACTAATATTAAGTGGTTGTGAAAGAAAAACAACAAACTAAATGCACTTAATAGAGAGATCTGAATGATTCAGATTCAAACCTCCATAAAGTGGAAACAAATGGGGCCAAGTTCCTCTAGCGTATAGCACTTAAGCGGTCATCTCCAGAAGTAACTTCTATCGTCCTAACTTATAAAGGTTTGTTTCTAAAACCTCTCGGTCCTTCACTCTTGGATCTTAGGTCATTGACTCAGGAGCTTCTGGTTGCATATCTAATAAATATCTTTCCTCTACTATTAGTTACGTTCCAAAACCATGGCAACAATAGCAGGTCAAGCGACTTTCATCTTTGACTTTAGTTTAGTGTTACATATTTTTTTGATCAAGGTAAGCTTTCATTAAATCAATCATCCAGAGGATGTAATTGATTACAAAAAAGTCAATTCTCCTGAAAAGCAAAAACCTCCTATCTGCTCAAGGAGCTTACAAAATCTAATAGATCTAATGAGCTATTTACATCAAAGTGGTTACTCCAAGCAAAGAGATTTACTAAACATCTAGCTTTTAGTGCAGTTTAGTGTTACATATTCTAGGTTGTTCCTTCAATCTGTATCAATTAGCTGTTTATCCCAAACATTTAATTGGATGTACCATATATGAGCCACACGGAATTTACTACCTCGACCTTCCAAGATAGGCCCACAGCTTATCCTATTACTGACTCTCCTAGATTACTCCATAAATGGTTGAGACGGACCAATTTTCTATTTTTCACACCTTTGTACTGTGATTCCCATTCATATTTCCCTAAACCCTAAACCCGTCATAATATAAAACATGAATATTTCCGCAGACATCATAGACTTCTTGCAAACTATAAGCTGAAGTCCATTCTCATTAGTCAAAGAAAATTTAAGATGACGACCCAAGTGCTCCAGTCATGATACACTATTACATTTCATCACAGAACAGAGTGAATAAGACTGATCTCTAGAAACAGAAGATGAATAACCACTAGACTGTGGTATTACTTTATAAAATTCCATTTTCTCAAACTGCAAAATCCCTTAACAAGAAAGTCATGCTGGATGGCTATGCAGATAATTATTCTCAAAGGGAAATTTCTAGTAGAAAGGAACATACTATTCCATTGTATAACTAATTACAGATTAGCTAACTAGGTAAGAGATACATTTAAAAAGGCTTGTTTATTTCCAGGGGAAAAAACAATTCACTCAAGCACATTGAAACTGTTATTTTGAAAGAATCAACAACAGCCAGATAAAAGATGGTTAAAGACACAATGATAGCAAAAATTGACATAGAAACACAAACTTACTTGCTTTGCACGTTCCAATAATTGAATTGCAAAATAGGAGATTCTTAGCCGCATCTTTGTGCAGGAATGGAATGAAGTGTCCCCTCTGCGTCTATCAGAAAACTCACAAATTCTCAGAACCCTAGTCAAGCCCTCTGCATATACTTCATAACCCAACTTTATGATCTCCATGGCAGTTAACTGCCCATATCCATTTTTCTTTGAATCTTCTGTCTTCTTTTCCAGAGGTAAGTGAAACCCTAGACCTCTCTGTTGCTTAATCCTGTAAAATGGTTTCCATTCACGTACTTTATCCAAGTTTATTTCACGTAGTAGATGTACAGCTGCAAGATAAAAATTACCAAAAATGAGATAATAAAGTCATACTTTTTTTAATAAATAGATAATAAAGTCATACTAATTTGAAAAAAAAAATATATAGACAAGTGAACAAGACAAGTACTTCACATCGCAAAAGGTAGAAACAGTACCTCGAATAAAAAACAGAGAGCACAGCTGATCCTTCATTTTCCTAGTCATAATTCTTTATGCAAGCATATGGTCCATATAAACGATACTAACTAATGAGAATTAAGGCTTGATGTTGTTGCTACAGTTGCATCATGAGTTATTTTGATCTAGTTAGAGACTTAAACATCAGTGTAGGGTTAAGTGTGAGCACTAAAGAACCTCTATAGTTATAGAAAACCCCTAATTTCTCTTAAAGACATTATTAAGCATAGCAATGAAATGAGCCTGAATTGAGTGGAATGAACATGGAGAATTTATACATAGGTGGCCCTAACTAATATGCAACTGAGACGTACTCCCTCTGTCCCAATTTATGCGACTCTCTTTCCTTTTTAGTTTGCCCCAAAAGAATGACACTTTCTATATTTAAAAACAACTTAACTTTAAACTTCTCATTTTACCCTTAATGAGATGACTTATAGCCACATACATGTCTATGGCATATTTTAGATCACAAGTTTCAAAAGTTTATCTTTCTTTCTCAAATTCTGTGCCCAATTAAACACCCTCACATAAACTGTGATGGAGGGAGTAGCTGATTGGTATTAATAAATTATCATACCTTTTCACAGAATTGTATATCTTTTAGTAATTCAATTTTTAACCTGTATTCTGTGAAGACACTTCTTTATAACTAGACTAGTCAAATAATTCAAAAGCAAATAAAAAAGCATTTCCCATCCAACAGCTAAAACTTTTCGATGAGACGGTTCATGCTATTCAACATCAACGTATAAAAATACAGCAGGCTAATCTTAATAAAATAACGAGCGTGCATCATCAATCTATGCAGTTAAACTTCTATAGTATCTGCTCTAGTGAAGATTTTAAGAGGTTAACAGCTACCGTCAATCTGGACAACAAGCTTATGAGCATGTGTCAGGTCATCCCAGACATAGCCAACACTACTTCCAGATGCCAAAACCTCCGGCTCTGTTAAACCCTGAAGGTTCTCCACGATAAAGGTACACGATAAGAGTTAATTGCGTGATTACAATATGTTGAAACTTGCAAGTCAAACATCGAAAAACGATGAAAAGAGATACAAAACCTCCTTCTGATAATATGTAATAGAAGTATTTTCCAAGCGGTTTTCAATCCGGTAAGGCAGGTCCATATTTGCTGGCCAACAGAAGCGTAAAACAATTGTAGGACCATCTTCAACCACATGAACAGTGGCGAATTCACACATGGATGAGTTATGCTGAGTTGCAGGATCTGATTGTTGAACAGAATACTCGGTCGACTTCTTGAATTTAAGAAAAAATCGTCCAAGCGAAGCAATACAAACTGGCCCAGACCAGGAGAAACTGGCCTTATTGGGTTGAAATTGGACAAAAAATGACGAATCATTTTGGGATTTTGCATGCTTTTTGAGAAAATTCTCAAAGAAGGTGCGTCTTTTAATTGTTGTCATCCCATTTCCACTCCTCAAAGTTAATGCTGCTCTCTGCTTACTGTTGAGTGTAACAGTTGTGTCAGTCCCATCCTCCTAAGACAAAAATGGATTTCGTCATCAGTTTAACAGCAAATGAAAGCTAGCATCTGAAATCAAAAACAAAGACAGACCTCCAAAAAACATTGACGGACAGTGATGACTTCATCTGACTCATTTAGTATGACGTATCTGGGATACATTGATACAACCTGCAGTGGAACTACTTTGCTAACAGATGGTTTCAAAGAGACTCCTAACTTTGTAACAGTTTTGGAACCAGATTTTCCTTCCACTTCAAGGTTCACCTCCGTAAGGCCTGATAAAGCATCCAAGTCCAAGGGTGCTTTAGAGGCTCTCTCATCCAAGAGTGTAATGTGCACCTTGTGGCATCTAGCAAGGATAAGCAAGAATTATGCAGGGTGAAAAGCATAATGCCTACAGTTTCATAACCGCTGATAGATGGAACAAGGAGAGACGACATGATGGATTCGACTAAACTAGAACTAGCGAATTAAAGTAGAAAAACTTTACTTGCTGAACCATGATTTTGTTGATCCGGGAGGAAGATAAGATCCTAATTCTGGAGGCACCGCAGAAGCAATATTTTCCACCTCATGCCTGGATATAATAGTACCACTCAGCAAAGGACAAAACTGAGCCAAATGAAAAAATTACAACTCATCTTGGACGAGAGATTACCTAGAAACAAGCTTGTGATTTGCAGGAAAATAGAACAAAGAAAATTCGGTATTATTCTCCAAGGTGTAAGAAGTAAAGACAGCAGCCTGCACCAAACACAGACAAATTTAACACCTTGCTGTAAGGTAATAAGCAGCTAAGCAGGATAATTACCTCCAATATCCCTCTCTGTCCACGAGATAATCTAAGCAATGCAAAATACTTGCCATTGCCAAAATCTAATTCGATATCCAAAAACTGAACTTTAGTTTTGCGCTTCTGCAGCCGCTTAGCACTGTCGCTACTATTTATTGGTTTGCAGCTTGTACCAAATGAAGTTAAAGTAACAATAAAATAAATAGCAGCAGGACTTGCATATAAGTTTACAGACGACGCAGAGGGAATAGTTGCCTCATTGCATATGCAGTCAACACCATTAGTAGATGGCAAACCTGTACTAAAGCAAAAGTCAGTAATACAATACATCAACTAACACTTGAACCAGATTTAATTTGCTATTACCTGTATCACTGAGTCTCACATGAATCTCCATATCTAAGAAGTTGGAGAAGTGAACAGTAGGCAGCAGAAAGATTTCTTTCTGCTCTTGCAAGGCAACTGGCGAACTTTTATCTACACGCGCATACCCAAAGTTATCTGGATGTATGATAGGTACATCCTTCCCAGTGCTTTCAATCAGAAAATGAATCTTTGCTACACGTCCATCCTTTGACTTAATATCACAATGTGCTGTACTTAAGGAATATTTCATTGATTGAAAGGAAAATGCTTTCCGCACTTGGTAAGTAAGTTTATCAAATATCCCAGATAGTCGAACAGGCTTTCCACCTCTAAGATCATCCGACCAGCAAGCTGATGGATTCTCAAAATGTGTTAAGTCATCTGTAACTTCAGGTCTAAAAGAAAATAGGAAATTACCTGCAAATTAAGTTCCAATATCATGGATTTCCTTGTTTAGGAGCTTAATCAGAGATCAAGTGAAAGGTAAGTTCTACAGAACAATTATAAGACCGACNAGGCATCAATAGCTTGCTTGAATAAATAAGTGCTTGGCAGCTGTAATAGAACATCATCTATGTCCAAACTAAGTAAATATGATAAGAAAATTTGAATTGCACATTTACTATATGGGAAGACAGAAATATAGCATCTCAACGACGGGATTAACAGAGCCTTAGCATATTTCTGTTTTCTTTTCTGATCGAGAAACTGAGTTTTAACATCATAACACTAGAAGCACCTTTGGGGGTCGTTTCATTTGGAGACAAGTTATGTAGGGTAGCCCCGCAGGAATTAGTAATGTAGGGATTGTTTATGCGGTGACCAGTAACACAGGAATTGTTATGCAATGATTAATAATGTAAGAAGTGTTATGCGGTGATTAATAATGAAGGGATTAGTGTTATACAAGAACTACTTACTTTAAGGGCATTTTTGTCTTTAAATAGTCTAATCTCTGCATTTCTAATACACGTATTCTTATTTCACATTCTACTCCGCATAAAAAAATAAATCGATTCCTGCATAACTTATGCGAGTATTATTTACAAGATGCAAAATTACAACCAAACGATGTATACGTTATGCTAAATTTAATGAGATCAGTTCTCCTCCATCCTCATTCTATCAACCAAATAAGGTATTTGGTTCTGCTGAATTTAATGAGGAGATTAATTATCCATTTCAAGAAACCAAACGAGCTCTTAGTCTACATATTAAACCATCACATATGCCATGGTTGCCGGAAGCAAATGAACCATTAAATTTGACAAAGTCTTAGGTAATTAGCTGATAATAACAAATTGTAATAGGAGTCATTCGCTTTAATCAGTGCTATTAAAAGCCACCCCTCTGTCACTTTAAGCAATAAAGTGATGCAAAGGAGGGGTTATTGCATCATGACTGAAGCCATGTGCTTCGGAGAAGTGTGTGCTTCAAACAATAATGCGCAAACTGATCCAAAAAAGAAGTGGTTGATCCTTTGATTCTCAACTTTGAAGAGTTAGGACAAATTTGTCTTACCATACTTGGATGTTGAAAAATTAGTTATTTTGATTGAACTTTGGTTGTAAGTACAAATTCACATATGTTTGGTAATTTTAAGCTTCTCGTACATTTTGTGCTTCACTTCAAAGAGGCATGCACTTTCTTTTCTCGCTTTTCACTTCAAGCCCCATTGACATTGTCGCTTTTTTGCGTGTTTCGCTTTAAAATACACTGGCACTAATGTTCTCAGTTCCTCTTACGCAACACTCAGTAATTTTTGCTATCAGACTTTCCTTTTCTGCATTTTGAAGTTCCAAAATTTTCTCATATCTGAACAGATAACAGTTTATATACGTGTAATAAGAGAGCATGTATTTACTATGACTTAGCTAAGAATATGTTTAATTTTTTTTATTTTTTTGGGCCACGGTGTCACATACATAGAGCTACTGTTCCCTGTCAAAAAGAAACACATAATGATAAGCAAAGGTCATTGTCTACTCGTGAATTTGTTCCAAGAATATATTAAAATGAAACTATGAGCTACAATATAAAAAGTCCAGTATCGAACAACTGAACTCAAGCTCCTACTACCACTCTATATGCCTTGAACAGCTTCTAGAAACCTATAAATAGATATAAAATGTCATTCTTAGGCTTAATTCTTCAATAAAAGTGCAATGCACAGAGCCTATAGCTCGGTTTCATCTCAACTACTCAAAGGAAAAAAAGTTCAGATAACAAGCAACTTACTTTCAAGACTTTGTTTATCCTTGTTTGCAATCAAAAATTGTCTTTTTCACCTATTTAAAGTCTTTATTGTTCTCACTCAATTTCAAGGCTTTCTAAAATTTCCAGTTAAGAACCTTTTTTTTTTGGATTGAAAATTTTTAGAATTTGCTGCAGAAAACTCTTAAAGATAGCAGATTTTAACCCTAGTTAGGAGTCTAAACAAGATATCCCTTCTCTTATTGGAGAGTCTAAACAGGAGTTAATAGTTCGACTTCGTTTGTCAATCGAAACTAGCGAGGGCGTCAAGCAAAAGCTTGAACTGTGGCAAAGCACTTTAGAGAGGTGATAAGTAGAAGTAAGATTGAATACATGCACTGCAAGTTTAGTCAGCATGAGAAGGGCGAAGTTGAGATGAGACTAGACGTGATTGCATTGCCAAAATGCAAACAATTAAGACATCTACGCTTGTTTCAAGAGAATGGAGTGATAAATGAAGATGTTACTCATAGAGTTAAAACCGGATGATTGAAATGAAAAAGGGCTACTGGGGTGTTATGTGATAGAAAGATGCCTATCAAGTGAAAGGTAAGTTCTACGGAACAATTATAAGACCGACAATTTTATACGGTAGTGAATGTTGGGCCGCTAAAGCTCAACCTATTCAAAAGATGAGTGTGGCAGCGATGCGGATGCAAAGATGGATGTGCGGTCATACAGGATTAGATAAGATTAGAAATGACCACATTCGCCAGAAGATGCAGTAAGCACGCATTATAGGATAAAATTCGCTTGAATTGGTTTCGCCGTGTCCAATGTTTATCTACAGATCGATTCATGGGTATGAAAATATTGTGAGTGAAGGTGTTAAGAGGGGATAAGGTAGACCTAAAATAGCATGGAAGGAAGTCATCTCGCAAGACCTACAAATTGTTGGAATCAATGCAAACTTAGTTAGCGATAGGGCACAATAGAAGAAAAATATTCATCCAAGTGATATCTACTAATTGGGAATAGGTTTTAATCTTGTTAGAGAGCTTATAATTATATAATTATTATTATTACTATTATTTATATTTATATATATTTAACTTATTTCTCATTTTTATTTTATTTGGTATTGATGATGACATGAGTTGAGCTCAAATGGAGAAGTGAGGATTGATATAGCCGACCCCAACTTGTTTGGGACTGAGACCTACTTGTTGTTGTAATAGTTCGACTTTGTCTAGAAAGGTAACATGTATGACATCTAAATCAATTCCATAAAGTTCTTTTCCTCGGAAGCAGGCAATTTCAATATCAAAGCTTGAAAGGAGGAAACATGCTTGAAACATACCAACACTCAAAGAATTTAGTGTCTTCTTTCGTTCACCAGAGAGATTTATGGCACCAAAGGCTGCCATAGAATCGTCAATTGTGTCCCCGGCCTTAAGCATCACAGAAGCATAATCAGCTTCCTTATGCTGAGGGCGTTGAAAACGCAGCTCCATTGAGAAATCAGTATCATTGTGTATCTTTAGTAATGGAGAGACGACGATTGTCAAGCAATCCTACAAACATCAAGAAAGAGGATTGTAAACCATAAGAACATTAAGTTAGACATGCCTGGATATCCATCTTAAGAAGAATCAGCTGCGGTACCTCAGTCCTGGGTGAAACTTCAGCCACAAGAAATGGACCAGGGAAAGTTTTTGACTCTGGTCAATAGCAAATAAGTTTAGTAAGCTCTAAGTTTGAATTCATTGAATATGCACAAAGAACTAGTAGTGGTTGCTATTATCAGCAAAAGCTATAGCAAAGTCGTTTATCTCAAGTTGGTGGTGTCAGCTAGTCCAAAATCCAAGTCTTAACAATTAGTGCGAAATTTATTTATATATTAAAAAAACAACTTGAGGGAAGAGCAGCCTGAAACACCTTGTAGAGATACTATACGTGGTCTCCACGCAAATGACTGGGTTTCCAAGAGTGAAAGATGAAGTGGAGAAGTAGAGAGAAATCCTCTCTCCGTAAGCTGGATAGAGAAGAATGACGCTTCCGGAGGTCGATTTGCCAAAGCCAAGTGCCTTACAGACAAAAAGTTAGGCTCCTCACATGATGAGCACGCAAGTAAAAATTCAAATAAAGCAAAGGCAAAAATACAAATGAAAACACCGTGATTAACCTCTCAAAACATAAGAATGAAAATTGTGGAAAGGAAATTAATTACATGCAAGCCCAGGACACTGGAGCTTACTCGGTATAAATTTTTTTTATAATTTATAAGGGAGCTTACTCAGTATAAATGTGATACACAATTGAAAACATCAGCAGCAGGCAAAAAAAAGTAAAAAACATATTCCAGACACACATACATCATATACTTCCTATTTCAAAATCTGTTAAGCTGGTGTTATCTTGTACTGAGCAAGGATGAAATAGGGCTGCGAGTTGAGAAGGTAGGCTCTAGATTGCGGGAGATGTATCATTCTCAAGGATGGCGGAGGCACAATGCCCACATACTACAAAAACTGATTGTACGTCATCTGCGGAAAGACGAGTAAAATAGAGAAAGTGCAACACGGTCAGGGTGCTTGAGTAGAAGTATGTCTCCCTTATCGAGGGAAAAGAAAGAGATTGAGAAACGACTTTTTTATCCTAAAATTGCACAAAGGGAAACTAGGACTTTCTCAATCATTTGCACGGCATAAGACACATGAAAATTAAATTCCCATCTAATTTCTGCTGTTATAGTTTATAGTTTCTTTCTTTTTTCAATTAGTAGGTCGAGTTCTATCTTTGTGCTGTGTGGAATAAACTTTACAAATTCAAATATATATATATATATCAGTAGGTCAAGTTCTATAGTTTCTTTAAAGGCTGTTGATTGGCTCTTAGCAGCGGATGTTTCAAGTAAACAAGCAGAACAACTGTAAGCTGTGATAAGCACCTCAAGAAAATGGTAGTGGAGTGTCTTCCTGCAACTGATACATCTTGATTATCGTAGAACTGACAAATAAGGGATAAGCCTGACTGGTTTTCAACCTGAAAATGTTAAAGCCCATCAGTTCGCACATGAAACACTAGACGATTTATAGTCTCTGCATGACTTTTCTCATGAATGGACAAATACAAGCTTCACAAGGTTAGATATCTAATATTCAGTCTCAAAGAGCATGAAGATGAACTCATGTCCAACTCTCAGTCTTTGATTTCCTCACCAAAAACTAACAGCACGATTTCATGTAGCTGGTAAAAAAAAGCAATTGTTGCAAATCAAAGTAAAGATGACAGGTTACTGGTAGAAGAAGTTCCCGAGATGTTCCATTGCTGAAGACATCATCCATAACATGGGACCGAAAAGCAAAGCTTATCCTAATCAATGTAAAGATGCATAGATGAATCACTTATCTCCGGCTCACATATTTAGGTTAGTTGATAAGTTTTGAGTGAAATTAAGTCCCAAATTGTGGTCAACCTAACATTCAATGCCTAACTGCTTCAAGCGCTTAAATCGAGATGCATCATACTGGGCATATATTTACAGCCCATAAGTCAAGCCAGAAGCAGCATCTTTCCTGCTAAAGTGGGTCTACAAAGTTATGTGCATTGTTAATCCAACCACCAATTAAATGTGCCAAACATCTTACAAGGACGGAAAGACAATGTTGCTACTCTCAGAACCCATCTTTTCTCAATTGCTACCAAGTAATATAATTTGACTACTGTTTTATCATTCACATCTGGAATCTTGGCAGAAAACTTTCACTCACTATTTCCATTGAGGAATCCGATTTCTCTTGCAGCAGAACTCCACATAAAAGTTGTGTAAGGACTTCATAACCAATAAATGATGACAGAATCTTTAGACATGCAGCTGAAATAGCTATGCTAGCCTATGTTTTGGTTCTAACAAGAGGGGATTCTCTTATGGCAAGTGAATATAAAACATTTCAAGCAAGATTAAGTTTGCAAAGCCACAGAGTGTATGCAGCATGAGTAGTTATGTCAGAGAAGAACCTTGCAGCAATTGGCCAAAATTGTTGAGATCCTTACAGAGTAAGGACCGGCCAGATTCAACTCCCCAATGACAAAGAGAATAATGTCCAAAGAAAGCTCAGTCATTGTCATACTCAACTGCCAAGCCAGGAATATCAACAAGAAAAGAAAATCACATGATTATTCTCAAACAGAAAAGAAAATCACATGAAAAATAGAGATATTAATCTAACCTCTTTCAATCTAGCATAGAAATGGCCAGGCACCCAGTGGATAATATTTTCTGATCCCTGGGTCTGAAATCTATAACGGTAGAAAACATCAATTTCTAATGGATGCATGAGTTCTCTCCTGGCATCACAAACAAGTGAGTAACACAAATTACAACATATTGGGACTATCGGTTCTAAAATACAATATCAAAGAGAAAGATGAAAGCTTGCATTAATTTACATTATTTTACTAAAGAGACTCACCACATATTTTTCTGGGAATCAAAGTAATACAGCAAAATCTCCAGCCTGCTCATAACCCGAACTTTAGCATTCGATATCTGTATAACAACTTCAGTAGTACTAATAGAACCCTGGAGGAGGGGATACTTTTCCTTGGAGTCCGAAAGTTCATGAACGATGGTCAAAGAAACCTTGTCCACTGACACAGTTACACCAAAAGAACTTCCTCGCTGACTCAGATCTTTTCCCTCACTTATACACGAATCATGTAGCATGATTTTTCCAGATTCCTTCTCTAGAATGCCATCCAAAAAAACATTGCCAACATATGGAGAAGGATCATGAAATACTTTAAACTTAAACGGGTGTCCAGGATTGCTGACAACTTCCAGGACCCCATTAACAAAAGCTAAAGCACAATCATTCTTCTTGTTCACAAGATAAAATATATTTTTAGTTTGTGGAAGATATGTCTCCAAGTCAACATCACCATCATAGATGTCAGTTTTGTATGGAAGCGCTCTCCAAAGTGCCCAGGCACTATCACTAGAACTGGAAATGTCAACAAAATCAGATTGTCGACAGCAATTCAACCGCAATGGTTCTCCCGATTCACCTTTGGCATATAACGAGATGAAGGATAAATACTGAACTTGTGACTTCCATCTTCTAATATAGTGATATTTCACCTGATGATAGAGAAAGAATAAAAGCATCCCGTCCATCAAGTAACAAATGTATTCCAAAAATGAGTTATACACAGATAAGCCAAAGAGAGTTGTGGGAAAGCTGTCAAGGTAAAAATGATAGAGAAAAATAACAGAGGCAAAAGCACTGAGCCTAGTTACAAATGCACAAGGTTTTCCTAATCTCAACAATGAATGATTACTTTAATGATGATGAGCAGCACCAAGGAGCTGGAAAAAGTAAATAACTTCAAGGATAACTGGATAAGGACCAAATTGTGAAAAGATTTTAAAATATATACAGACAACAAAAGCTTCAAAGCAAAAGAATCAATGAACCACAAAAATATTTTGTCCCTTCACCATTATCTTCTTTGTACTAATAAGGACAGTACGCTGTTCAAATTTTAGTTTGTCAATGGGTATCCCTCAATACAGGTGAAACAGAACTCTGTAATTACAGAAAAGGAGGGAGTAGAAACCTGATATTGCATAATAGTATTTTTAAGTGGTTAGGATGTCTAATCATGAAGCAAAAAATACTAGTTCAAAGAATTATGGTATCGGTTAACTGGAACGGTACGACCCGTTACTGTCAAGTCAATTTGGAACCGGTTAACCGGACCGGACCGATTCAACGGCTAGTTCAAATTTTATTTTTATTTTTTTTAAATAAAGTTGACCGTTGGCAACGGTCAGCTGCCATTTTGGCCGTTGCCCAACGGCTAATTTGCAAGAATAGCCCTTTTTTAGGCATTTTTTTTCAAAAATAACACTTTTATTATATTATTAATTTAGCCCTTTGAAAAACTATACCCTCTTCACCTAAATTGCAATCAACTATTTGGCTCTCATTTTTTTAGGAATTTTATTTATGGTATTTATTGAAGTTTGAACTTTGAACAATTGACGTTTCTTCGTGGTAACATCGGAGTTACGAAATTCAATATCAAGACTTCAAAAATCATCAAGTGTTATTGCGGAATTCGGTGTACTCGTTCCAACTCTTTCTCTTATTTAATTTTTATTAGTAGTTAAATTTTCACAATATGTTTAATGCTGCAAAACTAGTTTGTAATAAGGTTGCTAATCGGGATAATCGGGAAAATAGAAAATGAGGTATTACTTCAACTTCTAGTAGTAATTTAAATGACTTTAAACATGTTTCTGAAACATCACCTGATAATAATATGGATTATGAACAATTACAGGAAGATTACGGTAAAGAAGATAATGACTTAGAAATTGAAGATGAGACACCACTTACTAGTAGTGTTGGAGTTGGTAGCAGGGGTGGTGGTCGTGGCACTAGTAGTAGACCACTTGTGGC